AGCATTCTGTAGTACAATTGCACTGTCTCTGTCTGAATTTCTAGAAAATATTTGTTCCCAGTAAGCCCTGTTACAAGAACCAAGAAGAACAACTATTTTGATTTGGCACCTGAAAAACTTATAACCATAAATTAATCTCATCTTGTACATTTATTTGTTCACTGGATTTTTGAAAGGCAAATGTTTGTTTTCATTCTGACTTGAGCTATACCTAACTTCTTCTGCTCCAATTTTTTTAAAGGGTAGTCTGCAAATTTATTTGTGTCAGTTCTCTCTGACAGTATTTCAGATGATGTTTTGTTTAAATGAAAAACAAACTTTTAGAATTAAAACTCTTTGTACAAAACATTTTGTGTTTCTTTTATTGTTCATCAAAAGATCAAAATAAACACACAAAAAAGAACCCTGCAGGTTTTCTTAAAAATAGTTGGACAATATGCATTAAAAGTTTTGATGTAAATAATGTTTCTAAAAAGTATAATTGAAAATCAAAGTAATAGTTTATATTTGAGAATTTGTTTATTAAGCTGACTGAAGTTTAGGTTGCATTTTAAAAGCACTGCTTCAGGGTTGTTTATGTAGTTCTCTTCCCTTTACTGCATGTCTTAATTAACACAAAATATATCTGAGCAAGTACTTGTACTCCTTAAAGCTTCATGTAGGTTGTGCTGCAAGCAGAAGATGATCATCAGAGACAACACCTACTGTGTGCTAAATACTTAGAGAGCAAGAATATAAAGGCACTGCTAATTAATTACATTAGCTGAAGGGACTTTTACTAGTAGATATATGATTATAATTATTTTAATTAAGAATGTTTCAAATTCCACATACTCTCAATTCACAAAACTTTTGGAGTTCCACCAGATCTGTATAATCTTGCTTCTGTGTCTGCCTGCAAGTTCTTGGTTATCTGTGGCCCTGGTCAGGCACACCTGCACGACAGAACAGGCAACTTGTCTAAATTAGTTTATAACCTGCAATTTGGCCATAGATGAGATTGCATATAAATGTCTCAATGTGCTCTGAGCCAGCAGGATGGCTTGAAAAATTGTGATACTGGATCAAGAGAGACTCTTACGTGTGCAGCAGTGGCCCCTGTAAATTGCCAGAGTGGTGTTAGCAGCATTGCGGTGCCAGGGGGCAGTCCCTTGCAAGGAGGACGTTTTCCAGATGATCACATCTGTAGCAGCCTTCTGTGGAAGAGAACACGTACTTGCACACAAGCTAGTTAGGGGGAAAAGAACCTCAGTGCAGTGAATGTTCAAGCCTTGTACCACAAAACTGTATTTCCCATGGAGGGAAGTGCTCTGCCCCATAACAGAAATACCATAGGCTCTCTGGTGCCTGCCATGTTGTAGTAAGAAAAATGAATACATTTTATATATTCACAGTATGATTAAAAAAAAAAAAAGTCCAAAAGGCAAAGCACATATTCTTTTAACAGCCTGAAACTCTCCCAGATTTTATTTCAGAGAGAGTAAGTCTGATGCCAAAGCCATCTTTTCTAAGTGATCTGTCAATGATCTGTCAAACTGTTCCCTTTGATTAGGGAATATATTGCAGTCAAATGGAAACTTTTCTGCACAACAGAGAATCATGCTAACTGTGCTACTGCCTGTCGAATATTTATGCAATCAGCTATAACTTCAGGCAAACTTTTAAAACATCTGAGACCATATTTCTGGATAATATGATTGAGATTTTTTAAATGCTTTTTTAAAATGTGGCCACTATTTTTTAATGCATTTTTAGCATAGCTTGGACTCTTTATCATAGAATTTGTCTTCATGAGAGAAACATTTCAAAACTTGGAAACTGTAAAATAATATTATTAGAAATGACAGTGTAAATAACTAAAAATGTGAGAGCATTTTGTTTTGAATGAAAGATCTGAATGTCACAAAATTCTATGCAATCCATTTTTCAAGGGTGAGCCCCTCCCTATTAAATGCATTTTCAGCTGTTGTTCCATGGAATATAAGCTTAATATCCAGTACATCCTATATGAGGGAACTGTAGCCTTTTCAAGAAGATGAACTCAATAATTTGTTCTTTTTTATCTCTAACTATGATGATGCTGCTTAAAAGCAGTTGACTGACTTTTGGTCTGTAGCTTCTATGTGGGAGAAAATCCACTGTAATTAAATCTAATAAAATCCTCTAATTCCCAATATAAACAATTCTCTGACACAGACAATTCCCCTGAGTCTACATCAGAGCCCAAGGAAAACAAAGAACAGGAGCTGTTTCTTACTTCCTTTTAAATATTTGATCATTATGGACAAACTTCTGCCCTGATTAACAGTAGCTGAAAGCCTTACTCAAAGGAATTATTTTTGAGATAGAATCTGAATTACTGGTTTTCCTCTCACTTGTAATGTTACTTTGCATGATGACTAAACTAGCATGTAATTTAGGCTGTGTAAACAACAAGACAATAGTTGTCTGAATTGTTCTACAACGTGTAGTGTTGTATTTCTCATTTTGTACTAGAAACAAAAGCACATAAATCCTGCTTGACAGGATTTGAGATTGCAAGTGCACTGCAAAAGAAGAGCTATGTGCCTTATTAAGCAAATGTACCAAAACTGAGGAAACAGCTTACAAGTATGAATCATAGGAATATTATTAATACTTTTCAGTGATGCAATACTAATTCCAAGGACATTGCAATGTCTGTCTCCATTTAGGGTTTGTGTTAATGGGGTGTGTTGACAAAACCCCTTGTCCAACAGTATATTGTGAACCAGACAGAGCTTTGGGTACATGCCCAGCCCTTTAGGTACCTGCAGGATCACGCTGCTTTCCTCGTACCTGGGAGCTTTGAGACTACACCACCAGAGAGCACTGTGCTATTTCTGCATGCCTTCCTTACCTGTCTCTGTGTGTTTAAGGACCTGTTTTATTCAGTCTTTTTTCCTGTGATACAGTAGAACTCAAGTAGTTGTTGTGATTCTACTGAAATTCCCAAACATTTTACTGTTGTTGTCCTGTGTGCAGCCCTTCCTTGACCTGACTAACCTCATCTGGGACCTTTACCCCACTTATGGCCCAGAAATCTCTTTTAAGCTCAGATCCACTCCTGGGGTCCTTTGTGTGAGTGCTGTTGTTCAGGTGCTGGCCTGCACTCTGAGTCCTGGGTGGAGCTGAGACCCGTGCTGTGATTGTCTGGGGCAGCCCCTTCTCAGAGCAGCCAGTCCTGTCTGCACCTTGACATTCCTGAACTGGCCCCTGACCTGGAATACCTGCTGCTGAAAATAGGTTGTGACATATGGCTACCAAACTATCTTGTTTCTGCTATTCCTGACGTATTTACACGAAAGCATAATGTATTCCACTTAAAATAAAAAAAAACAAAACAAAACAAAAATAAAAAACCACGTAATTTTAAATTGCAGTAGGATAAAATCTGTGTAAGAAAAGGGGAGGCAATATTTTGCTTAATGTCACCTTTTTTTCTCTGAAATTTCCTCTGACTTTCTGAATTTCTAGCTTTGTCATTGCGGATTGGATTCTTGTATTAAAGTACTTTTGAACTGAAAAATCCATCCTTCTTAATTACAATGCAATTGAAAAGCTAGATTGATTTGAAATATTGGAAAACAGCAACCTTATCTCCAAACAGAGCTCAAACAGTGCTTTTTCATTTTTGTTGAAATGTTCTCCAGACCAAAGTAGCACCTTAATATTTTTAAGTTTAGTCACAGAACTGAATTATGGATACCTCTTAATAATATAATAGGATATATAATAAATGTTCTTTAGCCATGCTAAAGACCATTTAGCAATGCTTATTATTAGCATAATTTTAAAGACATCTCACACTAGCCCTGTCAGTAGCTTTATAGAGGCTTGTAATAAAGACAACCACATAACTATCCCAAGAGAATAAAAATCAAATACATGGTTGCAGGAATTCCTAGACAAGGAGGAAAAGCTCCTAAATTAAAAGTACTTCAGTGGAAGCTGTCCCCATGAATAAACTGCTCAGCCCTGCTTACAGGAGGAAATGTTGAGGCACCAGAACAGAATTCCACACCAGTCTCCAAGCAGGAATTCTTTAGTGGTTTTCCACAGCGCCTGCCTTTCTTCCTATTTCTGTGGCATTGCTGAAACTGCTGCAAGAAATGGAATAGACTTTCATGGTGTGTATTTGAATAAGTAATGCACTGTGGTAGGTGTCAAATTAGCTCTGTTGTTATTAAAGCATTTGTTTTCTTGCTCTGTCACTATGGGCAAGCCATCTTACTTGGGTGTGCCTCTGTTGCTTCCCAACCTATTAACTTTATGTAAATAATGTAAAAAAATAGAAGAGAAAAACAAGAACCAAAAACCTGCTTAAGCTGTCGCCTTGTTTATACTCTGGACAACTGGGGGACCTTAGCTGACAGTGAAATACTTTAAGCTGTTTGTTTTGCTGACAGGCTGACTTGCTGTTTCATTTCTGATGTTGTTCTAATTTCCTCTCAAAGTCATCATCCTTCCCCATCACTTTGGCAGTATTTTTCCAAGCTACCTGGATGTACATAAATCTTATGACCATCCCTGTTAGTCCTTGATCTTTCCTCCCAGGATAATAGTCTCATTGTGAGACTGAAACTTTTGTTTCAATTTGCTAATCGCCAAATTCTTTCAGCAGCACTTTTGAGGAAAAAACACAAAAGCTGTTTTTCATCTTGGTGTTTTATTGTTAATACATGACAAAACAGGTTTGTTATCAATCAGACAGTCAGCATGCAGCATTGCTAAACAGGAAACCACTTCCTTAGTCTTGGCCTCTTATGTGCTGGTGAATAAAAAGCTCCTTTTCCTCAAACTGTGTCTGATTTAGATTAGCAGTACAGTGAAGAGAAGTTTAGAACCTGCTTGGGACTTGTCTTGGCTACAGGCAAAAGAAAGAAAGAGCTGACAGAGCTAGAGTTGCACTTTTCCTCCTTACTATCAACTTGCATACAGAAAGGGCTGAGAAAAAAAGGGAAGGTCTTGGCAGTGGGGATTTACAACTCCTCTGTTTCACCACTCATTGGCACATTGACTGCAGTCTGGTACTCTGAGAAGTCTCCTGAAGGCATCCAAGGTATCGGGGTTCTGTTGAAGGAGGGTCTTTTGCTGAAATTTTGATTATATATCATGAGAGATTCTGGGAGCAAAGGGCAGATATCAAACTGAGGCACTTTGAAGGTCATCCGTTTGGCTGCTTTTTCAAAACCCCCATAAGGCATGGCAGTCCTGGCATAGGGGAATACATGGAGTTAGCAAACAGAGCACAGGTAAGCAACAGGACTTATCAAATAAATAGTCCAAGTTATCAAGATTCTAAATTGTGCTACTCTTGCTGTTGGCTAACAAATCCTTCATGAGAACATACATGTCTCCATTGCCCATGTACTAAAAATTATGTAAACACACACATACGCTGCCATGCACTTCCTTCACCCTTGTTGCATCAATCTCCATCAAACCATACACCTTTCACACCTGTTAGTTTTCTGTACATGTAGCAGGCAGAGGCTGCATTATTGCAGAAATTAGTGGGATGTGGGTTTGTTCTTGGTACTGATGACCTGAGGCTATGGAGGTGGGTGGCAAAATTGTATAGAGAGGTTAACAAAAAATTGTTGCTGTCCTAGAAATATTTGTAAAACTTTCAATGCTTATCATAAACAGCAGAAACAGCCTGATTTGTATATGAAGTGCTGTGAAATCTATGGCTGCTGATCATAAGTATTTTTCATGACCTCTTGAACTTCAAAGGGTTGCAATAAAAAACAGTGGCAAGCTACATCTCCTGGTCAAATGGGGAGAGAAAGAGAGGCAAATAGGATTAAAGTCCTCTTATCCAACTGCACTGGTTTTCTGTGCATAATCTGAATTAAAATCTCTAGGTCTTAATGTATTTTGTCTTGTAGTCTTCCAAACATTTCATCCACTGGAGACTGTGCTAAGCAAAATGAAGTGCTGCTAAAACTAATTTACAGGAGGGCTATGATCAGCATTATTGTGTTTTCTCTTGCTAAATAAACTGCACTGAATATCTAAGAGGACTTACCGGTTGAAAGACTTGTAGTGGGGGAAATCAGCTTTGGGGCTGTACGACAGCAAGTCCGTGGAGAACTGGCTTTTGTCCTCAGGGCTGATACCCATCGCTCGTTCCCAAGGGGAAATATAAGTTTTAAATATAGTCACTTTTTTGCCTCCTGACTTCCCATCTGTAAACAGAGGAAGGCAAAGCAGTCTAGTTAGATGGCACTCTTAACTGCATTGTGCTACTATGTCCTGCTACTGAAGTTGAAGCATCAGCTTTGTTTCCATCTTCTGTAACTCCTACATCAATACAAGCTTTCATGGTTAGATTTCTGTTTTGAAAAGATGATCATACATCACTTTTGTTCTTTTCCACAAAAGCAGATAGTAACACAGTCTAAGAGCCACTCATCCAGGAATTTGCATTAAAGCATGTATTTGGAATTTTTCATTCTTCTTTTTGCTCATATAGAAAGAATCAAAGTCCTCACCTCATCATCTCTTCCACTAATAGGAGGGAAGCTTCATATGAGGAAAGACGCAAACAATTTCTTCATTTACTTTTCTGTATTTTCTGTCAGATCATAGCAGACATGACATGGCATTTTCTTTGTGATTACATGAACAGATATTCACATTTTTTCCCTTCTGAACTGAGATGTTAGACATAAGTCTGTCTCAATCACCTCAAGGTGGCTAAAAGCAGTTTGCAAATATTATATGGTATCTCACTTGAAGTTAAAATCCTATCAGTGACTAAAGCTGCACTTTGTTGTAAAGTCAGACACTTGATTGCTAGAAATTTTAGATCAGCTTCTAGCTGCTCCATTAAGCAAATGAGTTTAGACAAGGGATTTCATTCTGCATTTCCCTTCCCTTCCCTTCCCTTCCCTTCCCTTCCCTTCCCTTCCCTAGCAGTGTATAATACCACCTTGCTAGTAAGAACATAAGTTTTGTATTGATATGTAGCACACTTATAATATTTTCATCCTTCATAAACCTTAAAACCCCTGAGCAATATCATCTGCTTAGCTTGATTAGGGCAGATAATAACAGATTAATGGAGAGAGACATTCTGGTCCTTTCATGGTGCTACATTTTGTGTAGAAAACAAATCCTTATGAAGTAAGTGGCAAAAAATGAAAACCATTATCTGAATCTTTCTTCTTTATCACACCTCCTTTGTCTGTCTTGCTTATTGCAAACCATGCCAAGTCCTGGGGTTCCCTGCTTTTGAAGAATTGCAGACATTTACAAGAATCTCTTTTTTAATTTAAAAAAGCCCTAAAAACCAACTACTCCCCACTTTTTTGTGTGAAGTATTTAAACTAAGCAGTTTCCCAGCAAATTGATTGCTAGAGTTGAAACAAAAGCAGCTGGGATCTGTCTCTGCAGTGAAAACTATAGGATGATATTAATCCTCCTTCTCCCTGCACACACAACAACAATGAAGAAAAATCTTCTGTAAGAAAACTCTAAGAGTCTATACAGTTTGCTTTTTCACAGGAAATGTAAAAGCTGATTTTGATATAAAATGCACATTATTCCAGAATGTAAATGAAAATACTTGGATCTTACAAGATTTTACAATTACAAATCCATTTGGTTACTCAAGGCAGTTATTCCTGGTTCCCAAGCAAATTTGATTATATATATTTTTTCAATCTATAGGGACTGTTAAAGTGATGATTACATCTGCTGACTCTTATACTAGGTATTTGTTTCTAGAGATTTCTGGCCAAACTAAACAGAGGATAAAATCAGGCAAAGACTAAATTGAATTAAAACTATTTTTACTCATAAAGATATTACCTCAGTGGCCCAGTGGTGATTACCAGATAACTTTCTAAAATATTGCTGCTCCTTTCTGAAGATTATCCAAAAAGTGTTCTTTTTTTAGGTAGAAGCTTTGATTTGAAATCAGGGCTCAGACATTCAAGTCTGATACTCAGATCAGACTTCTGATCTCAAGAGTTAATAGCAGTGTCTCCAGTGGTGGTCAGTGTGAAAGCCTTGAAAGGGAGTGCCACGCTGGCATGGCACAGCTGCACTGGCCTACTGCTCTACCAGCCTTAGGAGCTCAGCAGAGAAGTCTCCTGTAATTACTGTAGTCCAGCCAAGCAAGGTATTTCTCCCTCCTGCCTGTGGTTGAGCAACATAGAAGAATACAAACAAAACCATCAAACTAAAAGCAGTTCAACTCTTCTAGGCTTTACACTGGAGCTTTGTTTGGAAGAATCCAAGAGTTAATTTGCTTTTCCTTAAGAGTAGGCTTGGCATGTGGTCTGGTAGCTTTAGTTTCTTATTCTTACAGAGAGATACTTGCCTTTGTCAGTACCATCGCCTCCTTCCCCAGCACTCCCAGATGATTTCCCTGCATGCTCCCCTTCACCATCCCTGGCGCCTGCTCTGCTCGCAGGCCTGGGAGGGGCCCCGGGCTGCTGCTGCGTGCTGGAGCCGTGCTGCCCCGCCGCCGCTCCTCCCGCCATCCGCCCGTGGCCATGGCCGTGAGCGTCCTCCCCATAGCTCCCTCCCGGCGGGATGAACTTCTGGAAGTGATCCTAGGGGAGGAGAAAAGAGTGTGCCTGAATCTCTGCTACAGGACATGGTGTATTCATGTTTGTAGGGCTGGCTCCCAGAATGTGAACTCCTGAGTCTCTTTTGGGGTTGGGTCCCAGAATGTGAACTCCTGAGTCTCATTTGGGGTTGGGTCCCAGAATGTGAACTCCTGAGTCTCATTTGGGGTTGGGTCCCAGAATGTGAACTCCTGAGTCTCTTTTGGGGCTGGGTCCCAGAATGTGAACTCCTGAGTCTCTGTGATCTGACCAGTTCTGTGTCTCTGTTACAAAGCCAGTGGCAGAACTTCATGTGAGTTATTCCCTTTATTCAGTCTAGCAGCAGCTGTGGAACAGCAGAAGTGGCAATGGAAGCACACTCACCTCATAGTAATTTTATGTGATCAGGGTGGTGTTGTCCCCACCAATGATGACTATGAAATAGAGGAGGAGGTGAAAGGAAATTTAGCTTTTGCCAGAACAGGTAGAAGTCCAAACAGAGATAACATTGGCTAACCTGTGGGAAAGCAAGCCTGGCAAGAAAGTGTTTTCATGTCAAAGTTAACATGACCCCAGCTCAATTACAATGTGGGATCAAGTGTTACAGGTCACCAGAACAGCAGGGTCTCTGTGACAACACAAAAGTCAGGAATATATCTGCCTTTTTGCCTGTTTTCTGTATATATAATACCATTGAAGGTCTATATGAAAGTCTGCTTGGGGAGGAGTATTTACATGTTGAGAAAAACTGAAGAGATAGCAGCCTGGGAAAACAGAAGATACTTCCTGGAGACAACAAGAGGGAAATGACAAAAAGGAAGAATTTTGTTTGTAGCAGTAAGTGAATTAGCAAACCAAATCTAACCAGCAACAGGGTAAGAAAGAAAGAAAGTTGCATCCATCAATAAAATTAGGTTGGTCTTATTTTGCAGACCATTCACTCTTCCTTGGTCAGGCTAGAAGGCACAATCTCTGCAGTATGTAGTAAAAGAGCAAACAATCCATGCAGGATTTATTGACCTTGTGGTGTACATTTTGGCACAATATCCTGTCTTTCCACACAGAAACTTTCATAAATGCTTGTGTGGAATAGAAACTGATATAGTATGTTTAGAAAAATGTTTCACATATTGGTCATAAGTGACATCAAAACCAGACTTCTATCAGACTTTAAAAGTATCTCTTGTGTAGTACAGCCCACACAGCTATATAATGCAAGTAACCTGGGTTATATATCACATATAGTCTCTCCTGTTGGACTAGGAGATTGGCTATTAGATGCACAAAGATGCAACAAATACACATTAATGACACTGAATGAATCCGTGGTTCCTCATACTGCTATTCTACCTGTATAAATCTCAGGCAGCCTCAGACATGGCTCTCAAAGGGTTTAGGCTTTCTCAGGGCTCTTACATCTAGCACCGTTTAGCAAAAAGAAGCTTTCCAGGCTGTAAACAGGCTTCCAAGGCCAGCTGTTCAGTCAGCTAAAAATAGTCGAGAAGTGAAAACCCCACAAGGCTCAAGGCAGAATTAGCTAACCCTCTGCTCCCTGTGTCTCCCACAACAGTGTCCAGGGTTTCACAGCAGGTCACCAGGCTGCAACCCAGGCAGGCAGCCAGCTGCAGGCTGAAGTGGCAGAGCTGGTTCCCCCAGGGCCTTTAGGGACTGTCTGTCCTTCTCCTAGCTGCAGGGAATTCCCTTTTTAGGAACACAGGAGATAATGTTCCCGTGAATGTCAGGAAGCACTGAGAGGGGAGAGGATTGTGAGCATTAAGCTGTACACAGGAGCTAGCTGGGCAATCTGCTCAATTATGCATGGCAGCTATGTAAGCTGTAAAAAGGCAAACTGAAAAAGGGTATCTTGAGGGTTAGGGGTCAGAATGAGGTTATTTTCAAAATGTTAATATATATGCAAGGGTAATGCTTCTACTGTTTTGCTCACTACTTTCAAAACTAAATTTGCATCTGTTTTCCTTCTAGTTTCACCCATGCTGTGTGCCCTTTCTGAGAATTATGGGCTTATTTCTCCTTTCTGTGGTTACTTACATGCCTCTCCTGCAAGAGAAAAAAAGTCCCAAAGCATCAGCATAACATGAGCTGCAGTAAAATGGACTGTTCTGTTTCTGCTCACAGCAGTATTTGATGTGACTAGGGAGGGGCATCATTGTCATCTGGTGTTATTTTAAATTGCAGTATTATCACTAAGTAGGAATGAAGTTTCTCTGGAACAGAAGGTCTGCATCAGGAAAGCCACTCCTAAATCTTATTTAGCTGCAAATTAAATTAGTTTGATTTGTCTTAAGCTAATTTATTATTCTTCATGGGCCTGCTGAGAAAACATCTGATCTGCTAAAAGCAGGCAACTCCATTCAGATAGGAAGGACATGTTTTCCATGCAACACCCCAGTTACTCACCTGCTAGAACAAAAATATAATTTCCTTTAGTTTTGGTCACCACAATTGTTTGTCTTAGCTCAAATTAACATGAAGCTAGGAGAAAATAATCTTTTTGAAAGATTTTCCAAGACAGTGGAGCTCAGGAAAGACAGCCTCAAGCAGGAGTCTCAACATAGTCAAAGCTGCATAGGTACAGCTTTGTCTCCAGTACATAGAGCACACCTCTGGTCAGAGTTTTGGAGTGAAATTTTAGAGTTTTGGAGCTCACACTTGAGAAGAATGCATGTCTTGGGCCACTGCTAACATGTGGAACATTTACATATATGCATATTCACATCATAAAACCAGCCTCTCTGTTAGTATTGATTGACTGTGTTGGTGGGAGTTCCAGGAGAGAAGTCCAGGAATGTCAGCTGAGATGGCTGACAACCTCCTGCTGGCTCTGGGGACAGATCACACGGCTCCTCCTGTCTGTGCATTGGTGGAGGTAGTGGAAATTATCAGTCCCAGGGCGTCCCTAAATCCACTCTAATAAGAGAGCACTTGTTGCCAGTTCATGTGATGGGTCCCCGGGGTTGGCTAAACAAATTGGGCTCATGTCTTTCAAGTCCTTAGTGCTAGCAAGCGCCTGCTCTTGCAGGCTGAGTGCTTACATGGACAAATTCTGAATTCCCTAGAGCATGTGCCTAATAAAAACTAGATAATGAAAGATGATCCAACTAATGGGGCTGAGATCTCTGTGTATCTCAAGGCCCTGACGTCACTGCAGGCAGTCCCCAGGAGAGACACTGTGTGCTCCCCTTCAGCTCCTTGCTGTGCCCTGAAGAAAATGATTGAGGCCACCAAATGTGTTTCTATTTCCACCTCACTGCTAAAGAGCTCCTCAAATGTTTGATGCCTATGTAGTTACTAACACTTCTGAAGTTACTGGACTGCATCTTCTCCGTGGCAGCCATTCAAATGCTCCTTGATGGTGGGAAGATTTAAAATTCAGACACTTGCAGAGTCTCATAGACTGCCTGCTGTTTTTATCAAAGCGTGGGCCTCAGTCCTTCATTTGGAATTGCATAGCCTTAAACCTATGACTCATTTTTTAAAAAGGGTGAAAATAAGAAGCTGTAGAAGCATCTTACATTTTTTTTTTCAAACTTGCTACCCTGAGAGGCACAGTAGATTGAGCTCCTGCTTTCTATTTCCAGGTCCATTTCTGACTTGCTGTGTAATCTTAGACAAAATATTTTTTTGCTTCTGTGCCTGAATTTACCCATCTAAATAACAGGAATTTTTATCTAATGCTACCCAAAATTAGACACATCTTATTGTATATTTTATATAATTTTTGTCACATTTTCTTTGTGGATGAAAGAAATTGTGTTTCAGAATTTTGGTCCAGAGTTTTCTCACAGTGCTGCAACAAATTGGAGCACGGTGGAAAATAAAAGACTTTTTTTTTCTGTTACTCTGCTTTTTCCACTCCAGTCACTTCTTGAATAAGAATGCATCAGACTCCACATTCACTCTTCCACAGCTTTGGGTATAGTGGGACCCCTAGATCTTCTGCACCAATCCAGCTCCAGTGCAGCAAGGCTCATTTTGTTAAACAAGTTACAATCTCACCTGGCTCACTCCACTTAGGTCATAACCTGAGAATTGCATCTTAGCCTGCAATTATCCTGTGATGTTTGTTCAAGAGGTTTAACATTCTATGAACAGAACTCCTAGAAAAATTATTTTCCTAACATTTCCCCTTTAACCTTACCTCCACTGATCTTGATTGACATTCATCCAAGTACATTAAGAGGCATACAGAGGCAGCACTGCATGCTCTGTAATAAACCAAGCAGCTGCATGATGACATTTCTCCATGGTTGTTTTCCTTCAGACACTGTATCGTGCCTGGCTATTCATCATGTAAGATCTCTGAGGCAGGTTGGTGCTGTACTGCTGTCTGCTGTGAAGCATCACTTTTGGTTTGTAACATAACCACTTCCATTTTCTTCCTGCTACTTCTGCCTGCTCTGAGTTCTTGTCCAGCACTGAAAAGAATACTAATTCCTGCCATTTTCCAGAACAGCAGTAATCCAATTCTTTAGATTTCCTAGATTTTGTTTCACAGTTGGTATCAGCTTAAAAGAGACCTCTTGACCTGAAGTCCAGCAGAAATTGCCAACACATTTTAGTTTGTCTTCATACAAGCTTTGCCATGACTGGAAGCTGCATTTATTTTAACTTGTGGAGTGTAAGAAAGCACCAAGGTGGGGATTTTGGTTGTGGGTCAGTGTGGTTTCTGAGGTACTACTGCTCATAATTGTCTGTTTACATATTGGTTATTTTACCTTGCTAATTGTTTTAAGATCTGATAATAAAACATAAAAAGGAGAGGAGAAAAAGGAAAGTCTCCTACATGTAACCCAAATCAAGCCACAGGTTTTGACTAGCAGAAGGACCATATTTAAGGATTCTTACTGGAAGAGAGATGGAGTAATGGCAACATCCAAGACACATAACTATGACTTTGTTTTCAGTTTCCCATTCATGCCTGCCAGCCAGGTGTTAAAAGGTTTCCACTTGATGACAGCAAGTTCTTACACTGAGGTTCAAAAGCAGAGGTGGGATGTTGAAAGGAGTTAGGGCAATAATGAGTGAGGCTGCAGGGCTAAGAAATATTGTTTCACGTGATCTTAAATATATTTGAGGCCAAACAAATTCAGCATTATGAAGGAAAGCAGTCTGTGAACTGCTGATCTATTAACTGTTGAACAGTGAAGTGGGATTTAGGAGATACAAAGACAAGACTGAGACCCTATCTTTGGTTTTAGGTGACTCATTAATCTACCCCATGTTTCAGTTTCACTGTTAAAAAATAAATGTAGTGATTTTCCACATTCTCTAGTTGGCCAGAGGATACAGTAATAGAGCACACAGCAAGATAGGATTTCATCATGGTCTTTAGTCAGTAATAAATTATATCTTGCAGCTCCACAATGAAGTTGAAAATATCCTCTGAGACATGGAGAGAATCACAGTTCCTGTGGGTGGCACAGCCTGGGGTGAGGAGAAGAAATCCTACATCTGGTTTACTAGAGAGGGCTCAGAAGAGCCCAGCTTCTCCAGCACAGCACAAAACAAGGAGGATGTTGCCCAAATTCTCCCTGTTTGGCAGGATATTGGTGTCAAACTCCAATAAGCCTCCCTAAAACCTTCCCCTTGTACTGTATATTTGCAAGCAAAGAGAGTCACGGTATTGAGAACAGCTCTACAGTATGTGGTGCATTTCATTTTACTCATGTTAGGAATGGTCAGTCCTTTTGACTGGGGGTTTAGCTACATTTGCCTTTAACTGGATGGGTAGAGCTGCAGCAGTGGCAGAGAGTGACAGGTTTTCCCTTTTGCTTGGGGCTGTCTGACATTCATGTGCACACAGTATTTAAGTTTCCTCTGCTACAAGTAAGGAGAGTGATCTGATTGTCCAGTGTGGACTTTTGGCTGGAGGAAAAGAAGGAGGAGAGAAGCAGAAGGGTGGGTCAATGACACATGACTGCTGAGATCTTCTCCCTTGTGTGGAAGCTTTATGGCTACAGCACAGGCTATTCTGGAACCCCTTATATGGTTTGGATTTATTTTTAATAACCTTTCTCTTTGTGTGCTTTTATATTATATTATCTTGCTAGTAAACTTCTTTTGGGGGAAAGAAACAGTCCATACTCCATCCCAGACCTGCCTTGCCCTGCTTTCTTAAGCGTGTCCTGAGAATATTTTAAGACAAGACAGTTAAGAAATCTATGATATAAAAGCAGAAAACACATTACCACCTTCAAATTCCTTCACTGTCCACAGCCTCAAAAACACAAGAACTTCTTTGGAACAGGGAGCAAAGGACATGGAAGTTAATTGGGAGAGGAAAGTAACTGGGTGTAGCAGTAGGACTTCTTACTCTGTCATTATCTTCCTCACACAGTTATCTTTTGTTTAAGCTTTCTTTTCTGCATCTGCCCTTGAGCAGATAGAGCAGCAAGAAAGGAAAATAAAAGAAAGTTATTCAGATACTGCAATCAAAGGGCTTTTTGATAAGAGTTATTTGGTGCTAAGGTCAGGCGCTGTGCTGATGGTTTGGAAGATAACAGACACAGATCTGTTGCCTTTACCTGCTCAAGAGCACCCAGCTCCCCCAGACAATGGCTCAGCTGCTGTGATTGCTCAGCTTTCCTTAATGGTCTGACTGCAGCAAAGCAGTGATGAGAACAGTTACCTGCAAAGGCAGTGGGTGCAAGCAGCGAGCTCCTGGAGCAGCCAGAAAACAGTAACAATTATGTTTTGATCTTGCTAAACTGACCCCAAGCGAGGGCTGTAGGCAGACCAAAGTCTTCCTGCACTGACCAATGCAGTGTTGCTATCTCTTGTCTCTCCATGGATGTGGAGAGAGGGCCTGTAAGCGAATCATGGAGGATTTTAAGCAGAATGCCACCTGGTTTGGAGACCGTGCCATAGTTCTCCTACAGCAAAGCAACAGAGAAAATCCTAGCTTTTTAAAGGATTTTCTAACCCCAAACTATATTTCCCCATGGCATAGGATCTTAACAGCCATGCTGAAAGATCTTGGGAGCAGATGTGTGCTTACAAAAGACAGAGATCCACTACAGAAGGAGTATGGACTGAAAGTCAGGCACAGATTAATAAACAAAGCTGCTAGCAAAAGATAAGCAATTGCCATCAGCATTTATAATGTTAGTCATGAAGTGACTGTGCATGTCCAGTCTTGAGTCAGTTTGTCACAACTTTTTTGTTTTGGATTGATCTGATTGGACATTCTTTAGTGACACCCTCAAATTTTTGTCACTTTGGACTCTAGCCTTTTTATTCCATCAATTTGTTATTTTCTCACTTCTCACTGACGCAGATTCTCACATATGAACTTGGCCCTCATATGTTTTAGGAACTCTGAGATTGCTGAGTAGTTATGAAAACAGCATGCATTTCTCTAGGATATTCATCGGTGGAGTCCAAAGTTCAATATGCCATTCCTTCTCACATTCTTTCTGGGAGATAATTCACTGAAGAAATGAGCTACCTAAAGCACAAAGAGGTGAGGAAACTGACCAAAATTTAACAAAGTTTCACGGGATATGCTTGTTATATCTCTGGTCTGTCATCCCTCATCTGTAATCTTACTGTTTAATTTTAACTTTTTTTTTTTTTTGTTAGGCATCTTTCCACACTCTTGATTTTTAAGTTGGCATTTCTAGAAGTGAACTGCAGATGTTTTCTTATTGCTGCTTTTGAAAACATCAGAATGCTAAAAGATGGTGTGTTTTTGTTTGGCAAAACATTCTCTTCAGCTTTACTTTTATTGTTTTTCTTGAGTTTCCTTGGACTGGAAAATAGATGCCATAAAGGGATAAAATGTCACCAAACCAACTTTAAAGAACATCAGAAGATGAGGTGGTATATCAAAATGCATATGAACCTTAAACATTTTCTATTTGTTTTACTGAATCCTGATAATCATGTGAATTGAGTTTCATTTGTAAAAGTTTAGGTGTCTTCAAAAGATTTTACACCTGCAACTAGCTGTAAAAAGGAGTTGTAACAGTACCAATGCAAGGGGAAAGGAAAAGAAACTGAATGTCTGTATTTATATACCATATCTGAAAGGAAAATGTTTTAGAGGAAAACAAACTGGGCTTCTAGCAGATTAACTGAAAATATTTCAGAGTCAGGTTAGAGGTTTCACTTGTGGAACTTGCAGATACTAGCAGAGGACTCTGTCCAGCAGAAAGCATAAAAGTATCCTAGACTAAAAATAGCTCTGGTCTGCTGGAGTTGGATGGATCATTGCCATCATGCAAAGAAGAAATGGAATAGGTACAAAACCAATTAGCCCTGCCCTGAGTTCTGAACACTTGCCAAACATGCAGCCTTCCTTCATCACTCAGTACTGAATTTTGTCATGCTTCTGCATGTGTGATACCAAATATTTGCCGGAGGAGACTAATGCTGCTGCCAAAAGGAAATAAAACTTGTGTATTTATGTAATTTTGTTTTCTTCTTTCACTGCTTTGCTAGCAGACCCTCCCTACCCCCTGCCCACACACATTAAAACAGAAGAGAGATTGGGCACACTCCATTCCTGTTTTCCCTGAGTGCATGGAGTAGCATTTTAGTCTTAATCTTCAACTTACCACGGAATTGTCAGTGAAGGCATCAGGGTTATTCTCATAAATGAACTTCTCCACTCTTAGCTGACGTAATTTGAACATCTTGGATCCTTTGTTGGTGAGGAGAGAAAGCTCTTCTAGCATCACATCTCTGGGGATGCTGATCTTCTTCCCCAGGTTCAGCTTGGACACCTCTTGTGGCATAGCTACAAAACATACAGTGGGACACTTTAGGAGGCACTCTGGTCTATGTCTTTTGTCTGTTTCTTCCTGTCATCAGTAGTGACTTCAAGCACCCAAATTATCTTCTAAATTAAGATTTTAGGACATTATCTATGCACCAAGCTTTTACAGTGAAGACACTTTGGGTATAGATCTTTGGTATTTACTCTGGACTGCAATCAAGGTAAATCTGCAGAGAGAAGTTGCATAGGGGTGGAGCTAGATGGGTGTCTGCCACATCTGAAGCATCTCAGTCAGTGCAGCAGGATTTATTGGCACTGCTTCAAATGAGTACTTTTCCAAACCTCTAAAACCTTCCTCATGCTGTCAAAAGTAAAGAAAATATAAGGACATCACACTTATTTAAAAGTTACCCTACCCCATACACACATGCTCTGTAGAAAGAAAAGTGTTCCAGGTTATATTCTTCCTGCTCTATTAACTGCTCTAAGAGATCTTGTCTTGTTCAACTGATGAGTTCTGGAATTAAAGAAACTCTCTCACACAGAGAGAAAACAAGTATAAAACAAAGGTTGTAAGAGAGAGAACGACGTAGAATAAATCTAGGCACTGCAATATTGACCCCTGTAAAAGATCATGTTTTCTGTCCATTTACACTGATCTGCATCCAAATTAATACTGCAGGAGAATACAAGTTTGCAGAGCGCAATCTTGGTCAACTTTTGGCCTGAGTGTGTGCAATGCTTTTCAGCTGTAAGATAGAAAATGTGACATGGTTGAAGGCTGGGCTTCAGTAATATTTGTGGCTGTGTCTCCTGGTATGTTCACTGCATGTCTTGCTTTGGGAGTTCAGTTTGGCAAGGTGTGAGATTTGAAAGGCCGAAATTCAGGTCGAAATCCAAACAATTTTTGCATGTGCAGTTTTGCATATCTTACCTTCATGGGTCAGCTTCCCAATGAGTTTAGTGGACTTTTTCCTTTTAAGAGGAGCAGGAGTCCCTGCAAGGGGCATTCCCACAAAGGGTTCTCTGCTTTGCTCTAAACACACAAGGAAATGGAGAATGAAACACTGGAAATGTATTTCTTGCCTCTCTTTTAGTTGCCATCTACAGGTAAAAGATACACAGCCTTTCTTTCCCACGCTGTTTTTTTTCTATCCCTTCCCCATGATGGAGCTAGTGGAAGGTATCATCCCATACAGGAAATCATCAGCAGGCCACTCTGGGGTTCTCTGGAGACTCAGCATGCTGACAAAATATGGTAGCAGATCCCAGCAGAAGCATTGCCAAGGTGCCCTATAGCACTCATCCAAAAGAGGCAATTTAATTGCAACAAGGCAGTCTCTCAGAATCCGGGTGTGCTGTAAGGATACTCTGTTATTATCTTGTGCTGCAGTAACAGGATGTCACTTGGAAAATTTGCTCTATGATGCCATGTTATAACAACATGCAGTTATCATTAGATGGTAATATATATTTTTGGATAAAGGTTTCAGGTCTGTCCAAAAGTTATTTGAAGCACTTTGCATCATGTGCAGTTCTGGTTTGGATATTTCAACAGTCCTTTTAGAATTAGAATAGGTACTCAGAAAGCCACCAGACTGCAAGTCTGGAAGGGAAAAAAAAAAGAAACAAAATGAAATTCCAAGTAGTTCTGTCTTTTATGACTGCTACTGTTTTGTTACAGAAGGCTGGAGGAGGAAGGCACAGGAAAACCTGTTAAAGTTGTTCACCCAATTTGTTTGAAATCACTTGCATCTGTATCTTATGTATTGATCTTATCGGATACCATTTTGAAGGGGGAAAGAGGAGAAGAGGGATATTCCTTCTGGTACAGTGTTCCCCATCTCTGTCCCCAGATAGGATGAGATCTGAACTGCAAAACCAGGGAAAATCAGGAGCAATCTCAGCAATTGCATTTCAGGCAGCTTTTGAGAGTCCTTCTAAGGGGTTATTACACATAATGTAAATAGAGCAAATGTCTTGCCTTTGCTTCAGCACTGTCCATGCCCAAACAACAGCACATAGGGGACAGATCCCCACCTAATATAATGCAATACAATACAAAGAAAAACGGGCAAAGACACATTGGCTTCAGCTGCAGCAATAACTACCATCTCTGTCTTGTGATTCTTTGTACTTTACTTGCTTAAGATTTCAGAACTGAAAAACTTTGAACTATGAGTTATATTTTAAAACTAGCAAGCAAACAGCTGTAACTGGAAGTTTGTATACTACTCTTCTGATCAAGACGTTTTTATCTCCTGTGTATTCTGAAGTATCATTCCACCATTAGTTCTTTTGCAACATCATTTTATGTGATGGAATTGTGATAACTCTTAAAAGAAGCCCAGCCACAGCAAAACAGTGCCAATCACATTGGCAGATACTCCCTTGGATTAGTATTTCTTTCAGATTTGCAAGTTTTTCCTTTTACTGAGATGCTGCCTGTGTAGTTCACATCATTTATGAGCCCATCCTGGGGTATTCCCAAAGCAAGTGTGAGCAGGTGCAGCCATGACGCACACACTGCACATTCTCTTTAAGCAGCCAGACATCTGCTTGGCTGTATAAAAGAAGCAGGCCCTGCTTGACAGGAAAAGGGCAATGCTGCCAGGAAATAGCAGAGGTGAGAGGTTATGGCCCATCTGATGGGTCCTAAAACTCACAAAACAGAGAAATCATCCATATGCTGCAAGCATGGATTTCCTGGGGCAAGGCAGAAAGGGACAGCCATGGTGGAAAGCTGTGTTCCTCACACTAATTCCCCAAGTAATCCAGCAGGACTGAAGATTGAAAAACCCATTGCATGCAGTTGGTCTAGCATAAGGAAAGAGACAGCAGTGTCTCACTATGGACAGGGTCCAGAGTTACACAGTACTACTGCTCTCTCAGCCCTCCCAGAAGCTGCTGGAGCCTCAAACCCCATTCTCCTCACTATGCCATATATAAAGCCAGGGCTTTTCTCCCTCAGCTCTGTCTTCTTTTTCAATTCCTTTTTTTTTTTTTTTGCATTGATCTTTGCAGCAGTCATTGGTGCTGGAAGCCAAACCAGTCTTTACTTCTCCACCACCTGCACTATTTTGCTGCCCAGTCAACTCACCTCAGGCTTGCAGTGCCAGGCTCAGACCAGCTCACACACCTGCCCCAGAGCTCAGCAGTGGCTGCTTCCTCCCAGCCTGTCTCTGGGTGCTGCCTGCTGGGGAGGCTTGTCCAGCAGCCCCCTCTCCCAGGGTGCCTGGGTGAGGGAAGCTCTGCCCAGCACAAAGTGCTGATGCAAAGTGCAGTGAATTTGACTCCTGAACGCTGCTCGCACAGGCATCCTGCAGTTATTAATAGCCAAAGGCCCAGAGGGCAGAGTCTCAGATAGCACTGCTGCCATCCCTGAGGAGAGGAAAGAAAAGGTTGCACCTCAGGTCTCCTGCAGTCACTGTCTCCATGTCCAGGAGGACCAGGCACTCCATAGGTGGCTCACTTCTTCCTTCTCTTTGTTCAAATAAACATGCAGTTCCTCCTCCTATTGCTTCTTGATGCAATTCATAAAATCTTCTCAATATCCTGCTTGTCAGTAATGCCTCAAAAGCTATCTTGGGTCTTGCTGTGTTTTACACCCTCCTTCTACCTCTTCTTAATCAGTCATCCCAGTGTCCCCTAGGCTGTCATACATATTTCCTAAAATGCTTCAGAAAATACAGAAGCAAAATAATAGTATGCATGAAGCAAGAAGTAGTAGGAAACCCCACAAATTCTAGAAAGCTATTTATAGAATTCTAGGAAGAAGATATTTAATATGTATGGGAAACCCAGCTGAACCAAAGATCAAGGAAATTAATTTCCTGATTAATTACAGAAATAGGGTTGATAGTCTGCATTTGGTGCAGCTTTGTACAGTCAAATAACTCCTCTTAACTCATTATGAGGCAACTCCCTCTTTTTCCTGCTTACCCAATTGTGTTCTGGTTTTAGGATGAAGAAAACATATCTCATTTTACTGGAACACTCAAAGATGAACATACTTTTCAGTTTCTGAATAAGGCAAAAATCCTCCAGAAAATATTGTCTTACTATTTCACATTGGCAGATCAAATCCCTAGTGGATCAAAATCAAGTTGTCCATTGAATAATCCCAGAGTCCAGTGAGGAGAAAAAACCAAAACACAGTTGTGATTATAATAGAAAATCATTTGGACAAAGAATTGCAAGCAAAATTGATATAAAGGAACATCAGGACATAGCCACTTTCCTTTTTCCCTAGACTTTGCTGCTGTTTTTTCCTGCACCAAATGCATATAAAACTTTGCAGGGTGGTAACTGGGTTGAAAGCACTACATGTTAAAGCCCAGTACTGTTAAGAAGGTCCTGTAGAAGACTGCTGAACATTCCTATGGGCAATAGGAAAACAGTTTTTATGTCCTGCTTGGAGTTAGGGCACATATGGCATTCTCCTGGCCTAAAGCTTCCCATTTTCCCCTTGCTTGCATCCATATAAGCACGATGTGTGCCTTGCATCGTGCCTGTTTCACAGCTCTGATCCTCCCTCATTTACATCTACTGCAACAGCATGATGTACACGTTCCACTGCCCATGAGAGCACTGCATCCTTCACTGAGCTGGGTGAGACACCAGAGTGATGTCCAGCCCAGATCCTGCCCTCACACTCCCATGCCAGTGATTCAGGAGCAAATCCCTGGAGCAGTTCCAGTGTAAAATAAGCACAATTAAACTGTAAATACCCACTGCCTGCTCTGGGCACCATCACAGAGCTTCATGCCTGGTGAAGGCATTTACATCTGCACAAAGCTGGAGGGTGTCAAATGCTACTGTCACAGCTGACCATCTGTCCACACATCACACCCACTCTGCACAAGTGCAGGTGGCCATAGAGGAGCCATAGAGGTCTCTTGGTGCTGCCAAGGCCTCCTCACTGCAGATTGTACAAGGAGGAGTGTTTTTCTCACCATGGTAATTCTTCTGGATTGGTTTAGCACCGTGCTCGACATTTGGCCAGAGTGCCCAGTGTCTGCTGTGACATCCAGTTGTGCTCCTGGAGATGCTGCTCTCCTATTCAAATTCCTGTGCTCTAAATACTCATTCATCATTCATCAAAGGAGGGTGGTGGCATATGGAGGGACAGAGTGAGAACAAACACAATGTGCTGCTTTATTGCTTAAAATCAGAGCCCTTTGCCTCTTCTTTCCCAAAGGCATGAGGTAGAGTTACATCTAAATTTAAGAAATTTCTAGCTCCATTTTGATTATCATCTGAGAAATGAATGTGATTTATATCACCAGGTGATAAGCTGAGAAATGCAGCTACCATTATATGGCACCTTTTTGTGGTAAGTAGGCTGATGCTAAACTCTGCCTCCTCTCTGCTTCTTCCAGCAGCTGTTTTCAGACCATTCTGTAGCTGTTGTTTTATTTCTCCAATCATCTCCTGGACCTTCCTGAGCACAAATTACACCTTAGGAGAACAGTTTGTGCCAGCTGGAACCTGATGGGTTTTGAGGCATGGTGAATCTCCAAAAGATGATGTAGCAGGGAAGAATGTGATTGCTCTTCACTGTCACATGACCTGGTGCAGCTCTGCTTGCTCCCACCCCAGGCAGCCGCAGAGAGAGAGAGAAGCTGAGCATGCTGGAAGGGTGCAGAGTGCCCCATGGGAATTGGAAGTGAGCAGGAAACAGATATGTTTCTTTACCAGTTCCTCCCATAAAACTGAAGTGAGACTAGGAAAAAGCAATAGCAAGAAGAAGGTATGTCTAGCGTGGTGTGTGAGGATCTCAATCAGATGTGAGCAGGCATGTCCTGAAATTAGGACCAGGAACAAGGCACTGACAGTTCAGGATGAGCCAGCTCCAGGAGACAAGAGCCTGCTGTGGATCCCCAGCCCAAAGGGAGAGAGGCAGGCAGGATCAGGGTCAAGGCCAAGGATGTTGAAGTCCAGATTTAGAGTGATGGGAACTGTGGTCTGATGGGAACAAAGCATATGTTTGTCTAGTTAAGGTCTCATG